ACTGTCTTGCATGACCTTCTCATAAACAAACTAGGGAAATGCAACCTAGATAGAGCTGCTATAAGGTGGCTGCAAAACTGGTTGGAAAACCATTCCCAGAGCGTAGTTATCAGTTATCAGGCTGGAAGGGCATAAAGAGCGAGATCCTGCAGGGATCAGTTCTGGGTCCAGTTCTGTTCAATATCTTCATCAATGATTTAGATAATGGCATACAGAGTACACTCATAAAGTTTGCGTACGATACCAAGCTGGGAGGGGTTGCAAGTGCTTTGGAGGATAGGATTAAAATTCAAAATGATCTGGACAAAGTGGAGAAATGGTCTTAAGTAAACAGGATGAAATTCAATAAGGACAAATGCAAAGTACTCCACTTAGGAAGGAACAATCAGTTGCACACATACAAAATGGCAAATGACTGCCTAGGAGTGAGTACTGCGGAAAGGGATCTGTGCGTCATAGTGGACCACAACCTAAATATGAGTCAACAGTGTAACACCGTTGCAAAAAAAGTGAACATCATTCTGGGATGTACTAGTAGGAGTGTTGTAAGCAAGACACGAGAAGTAATTCTTCTGTTCTACTCTGCTCTGATTAGGCCTCAACTGGAGTATTGAGTCCAGTTCTGGGTGCCACATTTCAGGAAGGATGTGGACAAATTGGAAAGAGTCCAGAGAAGCGCAACAAAAATTATTAAAGGTCTAGAAAACATGACCTGTGAGGGAAGATTGAAAAAATTGGGTTTGTTTAGTCCGGGAAAGAGAAGACTGAGAGGGGACATAACAGTTTTCAAGTATGTAAAAGGTTGTTACAAGGAGGAGGAAGAAAAATTGTTTTTCTTAACCTCTGAGGATAGGACAAGAAGCAATGGGCTTAAATTGCAGCAAGGGAGGTTTAGTTTGGACATTAGGAACTTCCTAACGGTCAGGGTGGTTAAGCACTGGAATAAATTGCCTAGGGAGGTTGTGTAATCTCCATCATTGGAGATTTTTAAGAGTAGGTTAGACAAACACCTGTCTGGAATGGTATAGATAATTAGTCCTGCCACGAGTGTAGGGGACTGGACTAGATGACCTCTCAAGGTCCCTTCCAGTTCTGTGATTTTATGAAAATCAGTAGAAATAAGTGTGCGGTTTAGTTGTAACCATGTCGGTCCCAGGATATTAGAGAGACAAGGTGGGTGAGGTAATATCTTTTTTTGGACCAACATGTGCAAAATCTGCAGACATATTTCCACTGCTACAATGATCAACACACCTTTCAAGATCCATGGGTTCTACGCATGCCTATCACAACGTGTGGTGTACCTCATCCAGTGCACTTAAATGCCCCAATAACAATTGTGTGGGTGAAACCAGAAAATCATTACACTTTTGAATAAACTCATACAGGAAGATGATAAAAGACAAAAACACTGTATCACCTGTGAGTGAACACATTTCACAAAGCGATTACTCTGTATCTGACCTGTGAGTCCTCATCCTCAAAGAAAACCTACACAACACTTTCAAAAGACGAGCCTGGGAGTTTAAATTCATAACTTTGCTAGACACTAAAATCATGGTCTTAATAAAGACACTGGATTTATGGCTTATTACAACAATCTGTAACCAACTAACCCCCATTTTTGTCCTATAATTACAGGGGTGTTCGTGGGCCACTTCACCTTGAATGGTCCCTTAGAATATGTGCTAACTATTTATGCTAAACTATCTGTTTGACCTTGTATTTAGCTGTGACACTCTGAGTTCCTTTCCCAGACCCGAGTAAGAGATCTGTATAGCTCGAAAGCTTGTCTCTCTCACCAACGGAAGTTGGTCCAATAAAAGCTATTACCTCACCCACCTTGTCGCTCTAGAAATAAAAGTGCATATGACAAGTCTTTTTTTGTACCAGATGAGAGAAATGCAAAAAGTAAACAAGTAGCATAAAGATTTTTTTTTTTTAAAACCATTCTTTCCAAAAAAGAATATTTTCTAGGGATTCTTTCTAAAGAAAAGCCTCTTAAATCAGCATCCACCTTGACCACTGGATCCATGGCTTGATATTGAGCTAAAGTCCTCAATCAAATGAGTTTGGTGGTATGAACTCAATGGATTTTTATACTAGACTGTATCTTAATAGCGTCTTGATTTTCACCAGCGCTGGCCCTGTTTGGGGAGAAGTCTCTTGTGCTGTTCCTTTTGCAGGATCCCTTGGAATTTTCTGCCTTTGCTTGCTTGCTTTCACTCCTGAAAACTCCCCCCCCTCCTCCTCCCAACATGATTCCCTACTTTGAAGTGACTTTGGTTTATTTTAGCACAGCTGTCTGTGTTCTGTGGATCCTTGATGTGCCATAGCATCTTCTGCCCTGCTGCTTTAAATAGCAGCCATGCAGAAGATTCAAGGGAGCATCAAAGATCAGAAGGCATTGGTCAGCATGCAGCTGAGGTGAGAACAAAGCAGTCTCTTAGGAGGTGGAGTGGGCACAAATGGAGAACAAGAAGAGGAGTAGATGTGGGAGCTAAAGTCAGGAAATGGAGCAGTGAGTTGTGGAAGTGGGAGAGGAGGAAAGCATTTGTGAAAACGATGTAATTTTAGCAGACCTGAGATTCCAGGTGAAATGTAATAAAGTATTCGGACTTTGAAGAATGTTTTGTGAAGAAGAGAAACTTGGGATGAATTGAGGTTGTCCCCTTAAGCTTCTTCTCTGTGAGGTGCTCTTCCCTCTACTCTTTCCCCTCCTCCTACTGACTTACATTTGTGAAGCCAGAATGCAAATATGCATTTGAATCTCCCCAGTAATCCTACCACCTTTTAAGGATTAGGGTTTGTACAAAGGGAAACTGCATGTGCTGGATAAAGTAGAGCATGGGGGCAATTTACTGATTTTCCGGCTCCCATCCCCATTGCAGGTTAAGCAGCCTGAGAGCTGTTCTAACTTGTGCCAGCTGGCAATAGCTTGGGTGTCTCCCACTCCCTGCTAGTGACTACAAGGAGTGAGACCAAGGAGACAGTCTACCAGCTTCACACCTGTATTAACTCCCCAATGCTGAGGGATTCCATCCATCCGGGGATTTAAGGATTCTTCTGTTTCTTGTGCATTGCCTGAGTGGCATAGACAAGCCAAAACATTTGTTTCCATTGCCACTTTCATTATTGATAATGAGCAAATATGATGACGAAATCTTCCTTGAAGAGCGAATAATGGAAGCAAAATTTAACTTCTTCTGATGCTGAGCACTGGTCACTCCAGAATGCCCACTTAAGTTAGTACCACATTTACCTATTCAATTAAAAAAACAACACGTTCTACATGGTTCATTTCTGTATCTACTTGATAGTTCTGTGTGATTTGTTAGCAGAAGTAATTTTCAATGCACTAATCAGACTTTGTGTTTTCTTCTTTGCAGTGTTATTTATTTTTATACTGCACAGGCTGGCGGAATGTCAAATCCTTCCTGACTTTTGGTTTAATCTGCCTATGTAACATGTATCTGTACGAACTGCGCAATCTCTGGCAGCTCTTCTTCCACGTGACAGTGGGAGCGTTTTCAGCATTACAGATACGGCTAAGACAACCACAAGGGAAGTCCCCTGATTACAATGTCTGACCCAAGGCAGTCTCAGTCCACCCATGGTTCCCTCTCAGGAATGAAAAGCTTTTCTCCAAAAGAAGAAGTTGTGTTTTTTATTTGTTTTTTTTTTTAAAGATCAACACAAGATGCCTGTGGACGTTTGACTTGAGGACTTAGATTTATCCTCATTGAAGACTGAAGACACACACAATACAGGATTAGTGGAGGAAAATGGGTCCTATCCATGCAGAGCATTGTCCCTTGAGGACAAATAAAAATTTGGAGGACTTGACTGATAGGAAAAAGCCTTCTTCAAAAGTATGATAATGGAAAAAGAGATATATACAGGGCATGTTCTGCATATCAAGTGAGCACTCCAATTCCAAAATCAGTTTTGCCTTTGTGAGGCAGTAGTATAGGCTGAATACAAAGATGCTATTGCATATTAGCAGACTATTGGAATGAGTGCGTTACTAAATGTGAAACTATTGGATTGCACATTAAATTTAATGGGATGCGTGTATGTGTTTTCTTAATTAAAGCCTAACCTGGAAACCATCTGTTTATGGGGATTAGCTCCTTGGTCCCAGTGGCCTTCCATGTAGTGCTGAGTTAACTATAAATCTTGGTAAATATTTTTTTCTGTATAATTTGTTTTTAATGATCTTTTGAAAGTGACCTTCATGGACAAGTTTTATTTAAGTAAATAACCTAAAATTCTGTCTCTTGGCCCTCTTTGCTCTCCTCCTCTATTTGAACACTAGAAGTTTGAAAAGAAGTGCCAGGTGGGTAAACAGACATTGATTTGAAACCTGTTTGAGCTATTGCTTGTGTCTCTATACATTTTATGAACTGGATTAATAGCTGAAACCTAATTTAGCATATAGGCAACTGGTGGTGAGCTTATTTCCATCAATCATAAACGGAGTTCAGTTTAAAAAAAATCCTTTTTGGATCCAGGGATTTTGTTGGTCTGGTAGATTTACATTTTATTGAATTGGAGTCGAACCTCACTACTGTGTGTTAGTGGCTGGGACAGCTATGTTGAGTCCCAGAGTTTGTGAATTAATTAGCAGATGAACAATCAAGGCTATTACATTGCGTTCTATTTCTTTTGACAATCATATTTTGAGTTAATTATTTCCAGGGCTTTATAGTACACTAGTAAATATATTTTAATATAGTTTGCTCAAGTAGTGAGGTGTAGTAATATGGGGCATAACTAAAGCCTTCAGAAAAGTTTTAATAGCAGGATGGCTTCCACATTGCTTGTGAGCATTACTAGGCTTGGCGATTAGTGAGGTTCTGCTTTACTATGAAATGTTACTCATCAGATCTCTGTAGGCGGTCCCCACCTAAAATGTTCTCTTTGGTAATTTATTGGCAATCAAACTGATAGCAGAGAAGTAATACCTAGACTGGGAACAACTATTGTTTTTTTTAAAGGAAGTGACCTTACTCAAGGGGATCCAGGTGCCCAAGACCAAGATAATTTACAGAAAATGGAATCAGTCCTAAATGAACAGCAGTGGTATGTATTTTTTGATGCACTCTTTGTTATAATGTCTCTTTTTAAGACCTACATAATTAAGAGGCTGAAAATATCTTTGTGCATGTGGTAGCTAAGGGCAGGTCTACACTAACCCCCCAATTCGAACTAATGTACGCAACTTCAGCTACGTGAATAACGTAGCTGAAGTTCGAAGTACCTTAGTTCGAACTTACCTCGGTCCAGACGCGGCAGGCAGGCTCCCCCGTCGACTTCGCGGTACTCCCCTAGCCGAGCTGGAGTACCGCAGTCGACGGCGAGCACTTCCGGGTTCGACTTATCTCATCCAGACAAGACGCGATAAGTTGAACCCAGAAGTTCGATTTGCTTGCCGCCGAACTACCGGGTTAGTGTAGACCTACCCTAAGATAATTGTTGCAGGAGGTGTGCTTTGCCTTTGAACCTTTTTTTTTTTTTTCATTCATCCAGCAAATAGAATGGGGATACATTTGTCTGGTCTTGTATGTTCCCATTATGACACTTTTTTGTTGGTATTTTGGGGCAGTAGGGGAAGGGAAGGAAGGAGGAGGATTTGAAATTTAAACAGAGTGTAAGAGGCATATCTGCAGGAATACAAAGATTTCAATAATGTTAGTTAAACCCTTAGTTTTAAACAGCTCAGACTACCCACTGCCAAACAACACATGTTGCATTAGATTGCAGTGCAGCCTTTTGAAATCAGGACACCTGAAAACACAAAAATAAATCGTTCACTATTTTAAACTTGGGGTTTGAAATATGGATATTGTGTGTTTAGGACAAACTAAAGCTTTCGTCTTTTCAACACACTCTTTTGAGCCAAAAATTCTGATTTTTTTTTGGTTTTGGGGGGTTTTTTGTTTAAAAAAAAAAAGTGCAAAAATCACTCAGGAACTTTAATTTATTATGCTGATATATTTAGGACCCAATCCGACTTCCAGAGAAGTCAATAGAAAACCTCCCATTGGCTTGAATGAGTGCAGGTCCCCTTTAAGCCGCATTCCAATGACTTTAATGGTGCTTAGGTCTTGAGTGAATTTCACCCAGAGGAAATTGGACCAAGGAGTTGCTTCTTGTTAGGAAAAAAAGAGGTCATGAAGAAGTAATTGTAAGAGTTACTTATGGAAACAGCCCAATGGAAGTTGATGGGAATACTAGCATGCGTATTGAATACTTACATGAACACGGGTTGCAGGATTGGGCTTGGTATTTGTAACTTCTGCAGTTAATGAGTTAAATTATTTGCAAAGATAATGCTTTTAGCTTATTATCATTATGACAGTCAGGAAACTAAATAACAATTAGCATTATAAACCTGCTCTGTTGGAAGGTCTAAAATAGTTCTACCACTATTCATTTCACTTCAGTTGTAGTACTAAAGATGCTACTAAGAATGTACACTGAAGTACCTCTTTGTTCCAGTCTTGTGACCTTATGCAGATGTAGGCTTTTCTGCCCTGTTAGTGGTTGCTGATGTATCAGTCTGAGAAGTCTGTTTTTCCTTTTAATCTTTTCCCTGCTTTTCAAAGGATGCGTTCCCTTGCTGTAACATCTAGAGCCATTATTGCATTACTGTTACTAGTGGCATTAAACAAACTGCTGATTTAACAGATGTAATGCGCAAATACAACTGTCAGACAGATTTAACTATGCTTGTTGAGAAAAATCACAATTTACAGTGAAGAGATAATGTCTACTCCCCAGCTGTGACAGTTCCTCACAAATTCATTACTAAACATGTAAGCTAATAATACATATTAGAAGATGTTCAGAACTGTTTTTGTGCACAAACTTCATGTGAGTAGTTAGAATATTTGAACTTTTTCTGTGCACGGGTTTGGAAAATGCACCTTTTGTGTCCTGTTATGGGGTGAAATCCTGACCCACTGAAGTCAATGGCAAAATTTCCCTTGACTTAGTGGGGCCAGGATTGTGCCCACTGGACCTCATCCAATACTCATTGAAGTCAACAGGAGACTTTCCATTGACTTCACTAGATGTTGAATCAGGCTCATGAGGACAGATTCTGTACTGGTTACAGTCCAAGTCTGATTAGAATTGGAGTTGCGCAAGGAAAAGGGCCTGATTCTGATAGGTGCTGGGTGCATTCAGTGGGACATCAGTGGAAGCTGAGGCCACTCGGCATCCTATTAGAGGTTAAGTTCTGAGGCAGACTGGATCCAGCATATGTAAAAAGAATGAAAATATTTTCTTTAAACAAAACATGAGTCTGTTCAAATTTGATTAATTAGGAATGTTCAAATGCCTCACTATAGCTTTTTAAAACACACACAGTGGTGTTTTTATTGTTTCCCTGTGTGTTTTCTGACCTAAAAGTCCTGACCCCTTTCATGGTATTGTGTGGTCTGTTTTTCATTTATTTTTTAAATACCTGAGTAGAAATGTGAAACTTTTAAAAATCTCTCCTACAGACAGTTAGCTTTTTTGTTTGTTTTTTCTTTTCTCTCCAGCAGCCAACCTTCTCTCAGGCACTGAACAATAACCAGCCCTCTCTCTCTTGTGTTTTTTCTAGCAATCTTTGGTGGGTTAACTACCTAAAGGTGCATTTTAAAATGTAGAATAATATCAAAAGTCTTTTGGAAAATACAGGTTGTTTGGTTTTTTTTTTGTTTTTTTTTTGAAAGTTTGAATATGTAGTTGGTAATGTAGCAGATTCAATCCAATCACTTTTTTGTCCTAAAGAACTCATTTTCTTTGCATCAAATGGCTGACTGGAGGTAGAACACTATTGTTTTAAAGTCTGTCAGTTTTTTTAAATGGTGAGGTTATTCAACACCCATTACCGTATCTTTAATAATTACTAGTTTCTTTAGCAAAGAAGGAATGACATCTGTTTAGGTCTCTCCCCACCCCACCACATGAATTGCTTTTTTGAATCCCAGATTAAGTAATAAGTAGAAATGCATTACCATTTACAAACACTAAACATATGCTGTTTTGGCTTGGCACTTGGTAAGACGGTAATAGCAGGAAAGCTACATGTTTGTGTAGCAGCCACTCATTGTAAAAATGCATGTTGTGTGAATTATAGTATTAGTGGTTTTGCATAATTGAATGTGTTGCAGAGGCATTTTACTTTTTTTTTTTTAAGTGATAATGGAAGAAAGCCCCAGTAGTGCTCTGATCCTGCAAATAGCTCCATAAGGGCACAGGAATCTGCCTCTAGAATCCCCAGTAATGTCAATATGGGGCTGCTTGTGTGGATCCATGTGCAGAACTGGGACAAAAAATCTGTAAACTTTGGCATTTCTAAGTGATTTTACAGGGGTTTTACATATGAAATTGTATTCATCACGCAACTCCATTGACCCAATTGTTAAGTGTAAGAGAGATTGGATAATATGTTGAGAGGATATAATTACTCCTGATGGGACAAAATTAAGACAAGGAAAATGTAGGCTAAAGATCCTGAAAAACTTCCTGACAATGAGATGGATTAGACTGGAGAATAACCTTCCAGGAGAAGTGGTGAAAGCTCTGTTTCTTGGCCTACAAACATTAGGCTGGACAAAAAACACTGGTACATAGACAGAAGGGAAGAGTCATGCATGGGCAGGAAGATTATCTTGGAATTTGGGGTCTAACTGGACTTTTTCTAGCTCTACTCATCTGTGAATTAATGTACAGAAATCATTTTAAAGATGAAACATGCTAGCTTAGCAGGGAGTTAAGTCATCACAACCGAGCTATAAATTGTTCACGTTACAAAAAAACTCACTCTTGTCTAATGAGTTGGCTAGAAAAAAGTGACATGGGTTTTTTGGTTTCCTTCAGCTGCTTTTGGTCACTTTAGGTGAGAGAAATTATAGAAGCAGGTAAATATTGGATATAGCATGCCCTTTCCTTAGGAAATTCTACCATGCTGTTGGATTAGATCTAGTCCCTGCTTCTCTCCCACCTCTGATGCTATGTTTTGTTTTGGTGTTAACATAGTGGATTACCTGAAGTGTAAAATAGTTTGTTTCCAGCAGATGGCAATATTTGTATACCTCTGAGACTAAAAAAGGGGAAATTCAGATTCTGGGGAGATGAAGCAAGTACAGTACTGATTGTAGGTTTCTAGTCTAACGCATCCTCCCTCCCCCCGGCACTACAAATAGTTCAAGATTCCATATATCTTTACTCTGGCAGGGAAATAGGAGGAATTCTATAACCAAAAGGAAATAGAGGTGATTTAATTTATTCATAATGGTTTTTATTATTTTTTAAAAATTGTCCTTGTTTTCTCTGAACAAAGAGGAAACTCAGTTAAAAAAAACACCCCACTATTGATATGTTAGGTGCTTAATCAATCTAAATCGCTGCTCCTTTTTCAGTAATACTAGGGCCTGACCAGTTAGTGCTTGAAAAATTATACCTGTAAAACAGCTTATTTGATATTTTGAGATATATGATGAACTCCAGGGTTGCTATACCTAAGTCCTAGGGGCCCTGACACCAAGTTGAAATCACCAGGTTCCCCCACACCATGCACAGGGAGAGATAGGGCATGGCTACACTGTAAGCTCTCTTATGTAGCCACTCTACGCTGCCGGGAGAGAGCTCTCCGGTCAGCTTAACTACTCCCACTACTCGCAGGGGCTGGAGACGCTTTCCTGGTGACATAGCGCTGTCCACACAGGCTCAGGGGTGTGTGTTACACCAACACAAATGGTGGTGTAGACTGCCTCAGGTTCAAGGCCTTGCCCCAGTAAATACTTAATTATTGAAAGTGAAAAAGCTCATTAGCTGTGGGGCAGCATCAGCACTTACGTGGCTTGGCCCGTGCCTACTAGCAGCAATACAGACATCGACACTGTTAGGACAGCAGTGGTGCCTAAATGTTGGGTATGAATATCTATGTGCTTAAATCTCTTCGTGAATCTAGCTATTAGGTGTTATTTTGATGAGAACTAGTTCCCCTTCCAGTTGGCCTGGGGAGTTAGCGTTGTAACAGAATGTGGCATTTACATCAGCCTTGCTCTCAGTTCTAGGAGGTATAGCTTGAACCCCTGTACAGAAGTGCCTCAACCTTCTAATGCCTAGGCATGCTAACAGGTCTGTTCCTTAAAATTGTGTTGTACGTCACACAAGCTAACTTCGAAAGTAGTAGCAAATAAACCATGTGCAGCAAAACGGTAGCATTGTAGGTAGAGTAGCTATTTCAAAGTAACATGAGTTACTAGCATCTATTTAAATATGCCAGATATAACCAGGCTTTCTGATATTGGCTCTAATTTACCTTAGGTGGTTCCTCAATACACAGCACACACATATAGTGGGGCGTTCATAGTACAAATAAGTGCTAAGAGGATCTGTGCTTAAATAGTCTCACAGTAGATAACCTGGAGTGTGCAATTGGTCGCAAAACTTCATTCAAATACAGTTCTAGGTTTTCTATACAGAACACATCAGTTACATTACATTTAAATATGGAACGTCTAAAACTTGTGCATAACGATCATTTGATGCACAAATATGTCTTTTTCACGAGCCAGCTAGATCTTAAATAAAACGTAGAACAAAGCCATGTTACCAGTGAAACAGTGTTTAATATAGTTAAATTACTTAAATAGATTTCAATTTCCATGGGAAATCATAACGGTATCAATTTTTATAGGAGCCAAAATAAAGATCGTGTATACCCCTTGAAATGATCATGACACACTGTCAACAATCGCAGTCAGAGATAGTGGGGACTCGAAATATCATTGACAACACAGCTGCGCAAGGTGGAGCAGCAGACTGATCAAAAGTTAAGAATACAGACTTTAGTAAAGTAGAAAGCAAACCTAAAAATGAATGTACATGATGAAGGTGATGAAACCCAGTGAGTGGTAGAAAGGGATAGAGGGTGGGAAGGGAAGGGCGTGGTCATTGTGCCATGTAACGAAAGTATTTTGCAAATCAGCAAATGCAAAGCAGCAAAAGTATAGTACAAGGGCAGACTTGGCAGTTTTACAGAAGTCAATATACTATACTTTTCAAAGATGTGGCCTATTAAAGGGGAAAAGGAAGGATCACAGGGGTGCCATTTAAGCTCAAGTTTAAATGGCTGGATGCTAAGCAACATGGTAAATTAATTAGGACAGGCCCATGCATTTTAACTTGCTCTTGTTGTAAAAAATAAAGTGAAACACCTAGTTTATAAATCACCACTATAGTGCAATCATTAAGTTGTTAATACAGTAATTTTTGCCCTGAGAAGAGTCGAAAAGAACTTTACTGACTGTCAAAATATTTGAGTCATTTTAGTGATAGCCAAATTCAGTATCAAAACTCTCCCCTCATAGAATATAAAAAATAGGGCTTTAAAATGCTTTTTAAAAAATAAAATAGCAAGGGTTTATTTTTTACAAGTTAAAAAAGGTACATAAATCATAACGAATTATTCATATACCCCCCACCCCCAGTAAGAGGATATGTCCAACATGATATCTCTGTCACTCTATTTAAAGATCTCCTGAATCCACATACAAATGATCCATCTGTCTTTTTTTAAAAAGACAGAATCACCTAACTCTTAAAATAGCTGTGAATCATTAATTTAATTAAATGTTTGCTACAAGATAGTCAACCTGGCAATGCAGTACATAGTTCTTTGTAAAGGCAAATGGCACTTAGAGTATCTTGGACACTTTTTGTGTATCATCAGGATTCTATTAATAGCTGCTGTGAGAAAATAACAATTTTAAAGGAATTGTAAAAATGATCTTATTTTTGTTCCAGTGTGACAGAGTTTTTGCTACCTTCAGCTGAAGATTTGCTTAGTGCTCTTCCCTGTTATGCTTGTCTGATATTCTCAACAGCTTAGTTATTTATCATGCATCCTACTTCCATTCACTGCACTCCTTAGCAGCCCCAACTGCATCTTGAATCCTGAAATGAACAGTTGTTTGCAATGATTATTGTACTTGATTTTTTTCCTCTTCTGTAGGGTTTTCTGAATTTTTCACTTAAAAATGCATCTGACTCGGCCTGCAACCTCATCAACTGTTGTTTGATTGTTTACTCTTAATCTGAAAACTGCCAAGTCTGTATTCAGAGAATAATGCACGGAATGTTACATAGTTCTGCAGGTTATATATACACAACCCACCACACGCTGGTGTGGACAGACTTTTTTCTAATATATATAATTTACAAAATATAGAATTTGGTATATCTGTTAGATCTCCATGTTTTCAATATTACAAAATAAAAAATACAAAAACAAGAAAGTTGAGGGGGGGTTCCCCCTAAAGTGTCTCTTGTTTTCATCTAGTCTTTCACATGTAAACTGAGATATATACCAAAGAAGAGCACAGAAGACTTTCATTTAATAAATATGTTTGCAGAGCCATGTTTCCTCATCTTGATCTGAGGTGTACCAGTCCTATTCATAAGAGTAGCCCGTTAGCCATGAAAGAGAAAGGGGACAGTTTTGTAGGGCAAGGTGTCTTTTTCAACCTAAAAACATTACCGATGCTGTTCTGAAAGGCCCTTTGTGTAGAACAGTGGGTGTCGCTTTTAATTTTGAAAGCCTATCAAACAGCTAATAAAAGAATAGGGGTACACTTGAAAGAACTGACTGTATGGATCGGAAATATTAGAGGAGTGCAAATCCTTTCCAAAATAATGCTTTGTAGTGAATCATACATTCCTTCAACCCAGTAAAATTTTGTGTAGCTTCAATAAATATTTAAATATCTTATGTCCTGTGCAGCAGCTTCATTTTCAAACCTCAAATTCATTTCGTTTAACTGGGAATTCCATAGAGATGCATCTTTGGTCGATTTAGCACTCCACTGGGAATTAATCCACAGTGTTTTCTTTCTTCTGCACTGCATGGCATGTGCTAAAGTTCATTTGCTTGTCAGAACCATGCTCTAAAGTCGTTGCATGAAAAAATGCAACTGCGCTGTACGTTTGGGTCCACAGCTAAACAGCAATTCTTCTCCATGCAAATGCCATTGTTAAAGTTGTTACATGGTTGCTGTTAACTGATCGGCGGTCCTTCGTTTAGGAAGTAGGTGGTCATTTCTCCTTTACCTTTTACCTTAACAACCCCTCGACATTCCAGCTGATAGCCGTTGGCTGCTAAAACCTGGTACATGTCTGTGGTCACCTGCAGAGAAAGAATAGATTAGAAGTGATAGCAGAACCGATAAACTTGCTCGCCCTCACCTCTACACCATCTCTCTTCAGCCACGTCGTCCACACATGCAATTAATTTTGGGTGTAATATTTTGTTTTGTTAAAATTCTCTTACTTGTATCAACCAGTTTATAGGAAGGTGGCCAGTACAAGTTACGTAACTGCTACAAGCTGCAAACAATGAGTTTCACGGTCATATGGGGCACATCAGCTGCTCTGCAGCTGAGGGTCATGATTCTAGAGGCTGGGAAGGAAATATTACTAGCAATTCCATTTCATGGAGCCAGTCTTCTGCTGAAGTTGATTTGCGAGGGGGAGGCCAGGCTACAAAGGATCACAATATGAAAAAGGGAAGTCAGCGTTATAAGCTTGGCTCTAGAACCCAGGTGAAGAGCTAGGTCATGATCCCAGAGGGGGGAAGGAAATATCCCATTTCATGTCTCCAGTATCTGCTTACATTAAGGGGGTGGTGCACAGGTCACAGTATGAAAAAGGTTAGTCATAGTTCAAGTTAAGATGCTGTCACAGGTATTTTTAGTAAAAGTTACGGACAGCTTGCAGGCAATAAACATCAGCTGCTCCAGCCCTGCCACTGCTTCTGTAGCAGGTGCTGACCATTAATGCTCCAGCCCCTGGGGGACTGGCCCAAACCCAACAGCTGCTCTGACAGGCCTGGAGCTGGCCAGCTGTTTGGTGGCACCAGGACGGTCAGCCGTTCTGGGAGCCTCCATCCTGGCTGTTGCTCCAGTGGTTTCAGAGCCAGCTGCTGCCAGTTGTTCCGGGGGCCACTGCTTCAGGGCTGGCTACTGCTCTGGCAGCCCTGGGGCTGACCGCTGGCCACCTGTTCTGGCAGCTGCTGCTCCAACAGCCCTGTCCCAGAAGAACTCATGGAGGTCCCAGAAAGTGTCAGAATCCGTGACCTCTGTGACAGATTCGTGGCCTTAGTCATAGTACTAAGCTACTGCATCTAGAACCCAGGTGAAATGCTTGGCAGTATTCCTGTGAAAGTAGGGTGCTGTTAGGGAAGTAGGTTGGAAATCCATTTAAATTGTGGACCCTATGACGTAAACCCTTAAATAGGTTAAATGGATAATACACGGCTCATGTCATTTCTCAGGAAGCTGCAAACAAACAATCAAAGTGGAAACACACTAGGTGATCAAATTGGGTGAAAGACAACAAGGATTGTTCAGGCACTATCCTGTTTCATGCTGTAGCTTAAGGCAGCTGCCATTCAAATATAACTATTTACTACATGGAAGAACATTTTCAAGAGGGTAGGGGCCAAATTTTAAAAATATTTTGTTGCCTAAAGAAGCAGTTTAGGCACCGAACTCATTGTGAGTTAGACCTCTAGCCTGCTTAGGCTCTTTTGAAAATCCCACTAGACACCTAGCTATCTCTGCAAAGCTAGACCCAAATCCTTTCAGTTTAGGACCTATCACCTGACATTTGTACACAGAAAAGTTGATCCAAACATCCTCTTGCAACATTCCACTGATTTTCCATTGCCTGATAGATCCGGAAATCTAACTGCACTCAATGTGTTAACTATCAGTGTGTGCAAAGAGTCTGATAATTTCCTGAACTCTCCTTTTTTCCTTGAGTATTGTGTTGTATATACTACATACCCATGTATTTATCAGCTCACAATGCAGCTCATTAAAATATGGTCACTTTGAAAACGCAGAGCTGACAAAGCCCTGTTAAAATCTGATCTACTGCAGACTGTTCAGTGCAGAATTTTTCCTTACAGCATTTTCTCATGCTCTGTTCTCTGGATTTAAATGTTTCCACTTCTACCTTCATAGGGCTGGAAAGTCACTAGTCTAGAGAGAAAACTGGTCATGGATATTCTTAGGTAGAAAAGTTTTAATAAATAGTGATCCAGTTAACTCCCAGTTTAGCTGGAAAAAAGCACAAAATCCTCACTTGGATTTGGCACCATTTACTCTTATTATTTTTATACCTCTGCAGTATGGTACTGAGGAATGATGATACGCAAACAACTCTTTAGAGAAAACAGGACCATATGTGCCATGGGACAATGGAAATGAATTGCTGGAAAGGTCACTCTCTTTGAACACTGAACAAGGAGCTTGATTAGAATAAGAAAGATTGCATTAACCTTAAAACTACTCTTTCTCTCTGCTTCTCTAGGGAAATGTCCCCACCCCCATGCCTGTCTGAAATCCTTCTACAGTTTTGAAGAAAGAGTATATACATATCCTCACAGAATACAGGTTATCACTGTGACAGAGAAAATTAAAGACATTATAGTTTGTGGAAAATGCTGTTTACAACAGATAACAGTATTCACAGAAACAAATTTGTGAGGCAAGTCCTAGTAAACCAAAATAACTCTTAAGATTCTCCTTGCTCTTTAGCAGTGAGGTTGGGTGGCAACAGAAATATAGCCGTATCCTACTCCAAAGGATGTCATATTTTCCAATATGTGTTAACATATTATCTAGTTGCATGGGGCTCAACAATAAAGTCAATGGGGTGTAAGTCAGGGCAGAATTTGCTTCCTAGTATCACTTCCCCCAGTGCTTTAACATTAACCTTCACAACGTCCCTACAGCATACGAACCCCCAAGTGAAAGCTAGGGAAATGAATGAATTGTCCCAAGACCACAAGATTCAGGATCAGAACTCAGGATTCCAAGCTCCCAATACTGTGCTCAGGCCTAGTTCACCTCTCTCACCCTAAACGTTTGGCATGAACTGATGAAATGAGATAGAAACCTAGATTAGATTGAAAATCCCATAAAAGATACATTATATGTTTTATGGTAATTAAAACTCACCTGAATTCTGTCAGGAACACCTGTACTGTCCATTCGACTGGCTACATTGACTGTGTTTCCCCAGATGTCATATTGAGGTTTTCGTGCGCCTATTACCCCAGCTACCACAGGACCAATATTTAACCCTAGAAACAGAAAATAAACCCCAGTGCTTCAGGTTCATTGTCTATACACCATCACCCAGGAGTCATGTGAGCATATGAATGTCCCAGGGCTACGCATTTCCCTTTCTAAATCCAGAAATAATCCATAAAACCTTTCAGCTGTGCAATATGTTGTTTTTTAAAGCTGTGGGAAGATTAGGAGATGTATAGGCCACAGGGAAGAAGGGGGTCTTCTATGTGATCATACAGAGTCCTGATGACTTCCCTAGCCTAAATATCACTTTAGGGGGTTGTCACACTCCTTTCCTTCTCATGTCTTCCCCTATTTTTAAAGGAAATTTAATGTCCAAGTCAGGTGATAGAATGATAGGCCTTGAGACTGAAGTCTGTGTCCACATAGCAGGTGTATCAGGGCAGCAACAATGAAAGATTCCCAGTACGGCTCAGATGCCAGCATGCCTCAACCTTTACACAGTAAGAGTCTCTGTGACTGTTCAATCTGGTGCCAATTCTAGTGGTGGTTTTCATAATGTGGACACTTGTCCTCAAAGAACTGGACAGACACCATTTTGTATGGACCAAAGAAAAGCATCATCACTAGTTTTCTGTCATCACAGGCCAGATTCATTGGAACCAGCGAACTTGTAGGTTTTAAATATAAATTAAGCTGCACTTTTAACTCTAGATGAAGTGGCCAGGTTGGAATGAACATCAATAAAAATTAATTCTGTAACCTCAATCCAAATACTTTACCTATTTTCATCTGGAAGTTGTTGAACGAATGCTCATTAATGTACTTCATTTGGTCCATTAACTTCATGGCAAAGTCAGCCAGAGCTTTGATGTGTGATTTTCCCACCTTGTCATAAGTAGAGTCATTGAGGCCTGAAGCAGCCATGTACGTACTGCCAATGGTTTTGATCTTCTCCAGCTGCCGAAATTGGTCCTCACTTATTATCTGTTTAACAGAAAGAGAGCAAAGTTACTGAATAAGACTTGATGCAAACTAGTACATGCTGTTTAACTCATCCTTACAGCAACACAGTATGTCATGGCACATCCACTATGAAAAATTGTATCAAGTGTGTCCATGACTCAGAGAGGATGTGGTCAGAGTCCATGGAGCTCCAGCCAGGTAACAATATGCAATACAGAAGCTCCCCGACTTATGCAAGAGTTCCGTTCCGGAACGCCTTGCATAAGTCAAATTTTGCGTGAGTCAGAAACGTATCTCCGAAAATTATGAAAAAAAAAAAAGGCTTACGGAACTTTTTCCGTAAGTCTGGTTTTCCATAAGTCGGGTTTGCATAACTCAGGGAGCATCTGTACACAAAGGAAGGGAAATTATTTGGTGCTGCAGAAGAGGGTAAGGAAAAGAAAGTGACCATAAACTAAAACAGGTGAAAGACTGAGAATGTGTGTGATGAGGACTGGACTGGTCCCATTGCTGGTTGACTTCCTTCTTGTGAGGGAAGGGCTGAACTGATTCTGTTTGCTCTGTCAGTAGAACTCTAGCAAGATTAAAAGTCTGGATATCCTCTCACTCACTTCATCAAAGTCTGCAATAATTTCGTTGAGGAGTCTCAAACATTCCACCCCTTCGTTGTTTGCCTCTAACTCCACGTAGAACTCCGAGAAGTTGCTGATGGAGGCAAACATGACAGCCACGCACTCACAGGACTGGTAATACAGCTCATCGTTTCGCCGCTCTTGTGCCAGGAAATGGGCTGCCACGTCCTTTGGCAAGATGTTGTGGAGGAGGCGTCTATTGTAGGCCTGTAGCTCCTCCATTTCCTCTTTCTCTTCAGTGGCCTAGTTGAGAAAAGAGAAAGAGAGAGTCGTGCTGGTTATTACTTGGGAGGAGAGAGAACTGCAAGTGAGCTCACAGAACCAGAGAGCAGAATATCAGTACACTTTAGAAACATGGTCATACTTGGTGTAAACATTTGCCCTGTTTTTAAGCCTGCTCAGCTCCCACGAGATCATTTCAATAGGGCCAGAGTGGAATCAGCACCTCACAGGATTGTACCCTTTGTCCCAGGGCAATCCAGACCTTGAAAATCTTTAAAGACAATCTGTCCTGCCCCTTGGGTAGTTATTTACAGCCGCGCAAAGGTCAGTGTAAAATTCTATCACTGGTATACGGGAGGAGAGAAGGACGGGGGTGGGGAGGAATGCCAGAACTATGGGGAAGGGGGCAGGAGATGCTGGAGTTGTATGGCTGTGAGGCATGTGCAAGGAGATGGAAGTGGAGGAAGCTCAGGGATGTTTATATGGGGTACCAGGAGTGGGTGAGACAAAGCTGCATGTGTGGGGAGGGATATCAGAAGGAGGTCTGTTCTGGGGAGGCCAGAGTTGGTGGGGGGGAGGAGGTAGGGGTGTGTGTGTGTGGGGGGGGTAACTGGACCCCAAACCAAGTTGTTTGGTTTGCTCCAAAGCTTTTCTCCATCTTATTGCATACGGATCCAAAACACTAACACTGCTGAACTGTGTGGGTTTCCTCCTAACCATCTGCACAAAGCCTCAAGAGTACATTGCCAGGATATCTCCTTCCAAGTCTGACTGCAGAAGTGATATTACAATGTAATCCCCCTCACAGAAGCTCATTACTCAACTAAACAAAAGGAAACTCAGTTTGCATGAGGTTTGCCAGTACATATGGATGCTCATGAAATGTAATTACAATTGAGCTTACACAAAATCAAGCTAGTCTATAGCTCTGGTCTGGTCTACACTCTCAGCGAACCTGTTCAGAGTTACTGTATTATAAGAGAGATCTTCAACATAGGAGTGCAATGCCCAGCCCACCCCGTGCTGGCCAGCCAGAGTCTGGAATAGATGACCTTCAGGTCAGTCTGCAACGTCTGTCTGCTTTCCCAGGTATTTTCAGAAGAGGAGGAGTATGTTTGAGTGGATGGGAGGTTGGGTTGAAAAAGTTGCGGGTTGCGGAGGGGTGTTAGTTTCTGGACATTGGCCCAGCATGCATGGATTTTAGGAATAGTATTTAGATGCAACGGAAGCTGTTGGATGGATGTACTTTCATAAGACGAGGCGGATAAAATAAAATAAGAGTATAAGCTCACTATATGACTCAGACTTCACGGCTAAGCTTTCTGAGTTCTCCTTGTAGACCTAATTAGTACCAGCTTTGCAGTCACTGAACACTGATTTAACTGGAGATGCTCCTGTGAGAACGGCATCAGACCTGCATATATTGTGCCTCTTCCATCACTACCATCCGGTAATCGCTTTCTTCCCTCCCCACCCCCCTGAAAAATCACAAAAACAAAAGGAAAGAAGGAAATCTGTACGGGTAGCAAGTGTGAACCGTGTGGCTAATACACAATAACCACAGAACTGCCCTGCTCACAGCAACACCAAACAGCTGTCCCAGATACATGTGTGCTTTCACTCCTCTAGAAACCAGGACTTCAGTGGTGGCCTCCTGACACTGTGAACCTGATTTATACAAATAAAGCCACTTCTGGAATGTGATGTGTTTCATGTCAGACCTGGAAATAAGAATATGGAATCCTGCCTTTTTAAAAAATTAAGCCACAAAACATTCATAGGCTCTAAATATGTTAATATACCCAAACTCCGACAACCATACCTCTGAAAGCTGCAAACTAAAGCCTACCCAACTTGGTTTCTGCTTATATTTCAGAGGTGGTTTCTGTGTTTGTTTACATAGCGCTCAAGGGCTAAAAGAAGCATAGGTCTCTGATAACTTTTGAAAGCTGTACACTCTTTCTGCTGCCTGCCTCTGATTTCAGAATTCAGCAGCATGGTTAAAGAAAACAAATGGTGCCTTGCTATGTGACCTTTGGCAAGTGGCTTAACCTGCCTGTGCCTCAGTTTAGCCAGCTGTAAAATGGGGATAACGCTTACCCCAATAAATTAAGTATCATAGCATCCCTGTAGGTAAGGTACGTCAAGTGCTTTAAGACCCTTGAATGAAAGATGCTACAGAAGAGAAGAGCATTATTGATCTATCGGATTGAAGGCAATGCCCAGCTTGAATTCATGGGCATTTGATCACACTGTCCATCACTGTAGGGCAATAGTTTTGCATTATGAAACACAACTTCAGTGCATTATGCAAACACCTACAGCATCCACCCACCTGCAGTTTCCAAAGGAAGTCGAGCCTTGCTGTGGATTCCACCTGCTGGGCATGCAGATATAATGCCAGGACAAAAACAGTTATGACGATAGGGGTCACAATCTTCAGTGCCACTCTCGACGCTTTCTGGGAGCTAGAGTCAAGGAGAAGACAGAAGCTTGTGAATATTCTCAGCCCTCTGCTCCTGACCAGGAAGAACACAGCTGTAACTGTAAGCTCCATTTCTCTCTTGAAGGCACAGTTGTGCAACCTAACGTTTGTTTTGCAAGAGCAGTGGAGGGAATGTTCCTGACTTGCCATTTGAACAATACTTGTGGTCGCTTGCAACCTTTGCAGTTGATAATTGGTTTCAAATATGACATCTGAAACTGGAGATTAGATTTAACTTCTTAAAGGGACATTGTCAATATAAAAGCCATCTCTAAAAAGCCATTAACACAACACTATACTCGGTAAAACTGAAATCATTTTAAAAATCTGGTTTACTTAGCACCATTTGTGCTTTTTTTCCTTCCCCCATTAAGCTTGGACAGTGAAACTAGACTGCTCAGTTTCAAGTTGTGTGTGGTTAATATCTAGTCAGTCTCTCTCTCTTTCATTTACAATTATTAAAAAGTTACACTTCGTGGAAATTTTAAAATACCTCCCCTCCCCTCCAAAAAATCCCCTTTTGAATTTAAAATTATGAAAACATTAAAATAAAACCTTCAATCTGTTTTAAAAAACAAAATCTACAATCTGGACTAGTAGCTAATTGGCATCATCCCTTTCAGAATACGCTCCAAGAACAGGCATACATGTCTGGTCAATATTCAGCACCTTTAAAGTATCTATACTTTATTGTGCCAGGTCGTGAAAGCAATGACAAGAACTAGAGAAGCCTTGCTCTCTGTGACTCAAACATAGAATCACAGAATAGCAGGGTTGGAAGGGACCTCAGGAGATCATCTAGTCCAACCCCCTGCTCAAAGCAGGACCAATCCCCAGATGGATTGTTGCCCCCAATCCCTAAATGGCCCCCTCAGGGATTGAACTCACAACCCGGGGGCTAGCAGACCAATGCTCAAACCACTGAGCTATCCTACCCCTCTGCTACTATTATATTTTTGTGAACATTTTAAAAGGCAATTTTTGGCATGAAATGTGAAAAAAAAGAAACTCACCATGTTGATGTTCCATTAGAGAACTCACTGGGAAAAAAATCAGACATATTTAAGGTGAATATTTTGGTTTGATCAGGAGAAACACAAAGGTCTTTTTGACATCACTGAGTAATCTCTTTACAGTCCTGCAGTTTTAACACTGTGTGGCGCTACAATCCTTTTAAACAGTATGTCATTACTGGTCAGTAGTTAAATTGAAAGGTGCAGAATGACGCTATTACATTAATTTCCCTTGAAATGAGTGTGTGAATTAAACATACATTATGTATAAAGATGACTGGGAAAGTTAATTTTCAGAAGGCTGTCCGGGATTTAAAATCCAATGGAAGGTGCTTGGCAAAAGCCTGTGTATGTTTCAGGACATTTTGTCGCGCTAAATCCAGCAGAACAACTTGCTTTAAAGCTGGAGGATTTGGAAAAAGATGTTCCGAACTACCAGATCCATCTTCCCAATTCATGAATTCTTTAATATTAAAAAGGAACTTATAATAATAATAATAATAGTGATAATTTACTTAATTATTGCAAATGTCAGTGTGTTGTAACAAGAATCATCAATTTGCACTGTAGCTACCATGTGGTGGCAGGATCTAATTGGGCCTGAATCTTCCACCCACTGAAGTTAGAGGCAACCTACTGTTGACATCACTGGTTCAGGAATAAGCACACTTGTCATACACACTCATTGCATCTAATTTTCAAATAGATTCTGAATACTTCGGGCAGGAATGCCTGAGATTGCTACACATGACATCTTGTACGGTATGATATCTCTGGATCCACTAAAAGCACATTAGCACTGCCCACCCCATCCTGCAAGGCATTCAGTTATCAATGTGAAACTGTGTTATAACATTAGTGCAAGCGCCCGCACTATACACATGAACGTTAGCAGGAGAAAGGACTTCTTTTAAGTAAACCAGGGTTCTCGCCCACAGGACGCTTGCGCCCAATCAGCACACAGCTGTGGCCCATGTGACATCCTCAGGCCCATGTACAGGTAGTATATATATTGTGTGGATGTAGCCCACATAACACAGAGAGCTGCATATGCGGCCCACACTGGAAAATAGGTTGAGAAACACTGAAGTAAACTTTAAGGGCCACTTCAGACACCAGTTTGCATTACTAGTACAGTGCTGGGTAGGCTGCAAAAGACATCGATTTAACAGAGTTGTTGGAGAGGGCGGAGAGTAGGCTCCTCTTACAAAGAAGGGGTGGCAAGGCACGTTTTTGTGAGTAGCTGGCTGGCAAGTCCCTGTCTGATTGTTTGTTTCATGTTGCTGGAGCTAGGCTGTAGTATGAATTGAGTGTTCAGTGTCTAGCACCCTATATAGGTGTATTTTCTTTTTTTAACTCTTTACACAAAAATAAATCAATGATTATTATTATGGTGCCACTGGTGTGCTTGGTGCTTTACAGGCAAATCAGATGACATAACCTTACCCTGAGACCTTACCATATCCCTGAATACATTGTGCTAAATTATTCTGCAATTTTGTTATACTGAGACTAAAGCTATGTCTACACTTAAACCACTACAGCAGCACAGCTTCAGTGTAGACACTCGCGACAACAACAGATGTTCTCCCATCGCTGTAGTTAATCCACCTCCCTGAGAAGCAGTGGCTAGGTTGACAGAAGAATTCTTCCCACCAGGGATTAGATCAGCAAATATATCACTCAGGGGCTGTGGATTTTTCACACCCCTCAGGGACGTAAATGGTTCAACCTAACTTTTAAGTGTAGATGTGAACTAAGAAGAATATTTGACTTCTCGCTCTAGAATTAGAGATAGAATCCACCAAAACCCAAGAAGCATAGTGAAAAAACATTTGGTTCCCCAATCTTATTTCTTACAGAAGATTTTCTGCTGTATTGAGACCAGGGTTCCCTCTCATTTTGATATATAAATATGTCTTTATCTTGCACATTATTCATATCGGACTTCTTAGCCACTTACTCTGCTACACCAGCAATAAACAGGGTCCAGGCTGTATGTATCAGTATACACAATTCAGGAGCTTTGGACATTGCTAACCTTGGCTGTTAATCATAGTGAAACGGTGATTTATAATAAAGCCCTGGTGAACAAAAACGCCTGCTGCCGCAAACAATGTCTTTCTATTAATAGGTTGAGGGAGGCTCATGTTTTGTGGCAGGAATATTTTACAGAGTTTGCACCGATTGGAACAGCAGAAAAACGTACAGGTTTCAGAGTAGCAGCCGTGTTAGTCTGTAGCCGACAAAAGAACAGGAGTACTTGTGGCACTTAGAGACTAACAAATTTGTTAGTCTCTAAG